AAGGGATTGGATAGGGTTTCCCCAACTAAACATCACCACCACTGGGGTACTTAGTATCTCCTTTTATGTTAAAACCATCAGGCACCCAGGCACACCTGTAAGTGTGACCTGCTCCCAAGTAAGCCGGGGAAGAAAAAGGAGGTTACAATTATTTTTGTTGCTCTTCTCTGGACCTTCTCCAATCTCTCCACATCTTTCTTTAAATGTGGTGCCCAGAACGGGACACAATACTCCAGCTGAGGCCTCATCCGCACAGAGTAGAGCAGAAGAATGACTTCTCGTGTCTTGTTCACAACACTCCAGTCAATGCATCCCATTACTGGGAGGTGATGTGTAAACACCCAGCTCACCATACCACCTTCTGCTGTGCCAGTCCTGGGTGCTGCTGCTATAAAAGGTCTGATGAGGGAAGGAAAGTAGGTTGCACCCAGGGTTTCCCATAAGCTAAGCACTTGGGTAGCCACACAGGAGTGATTCAAATGCTACACAGCTGATAAGCAGGGACAACAGCACATGTTTCTACTAGTGGTGCACATCTGCACCTACATCAGTGCATGTAACATTTATTCTGCACGGGGATGGAAAAAAATTAGAGGGAACACTGGTCCCAGCTCAGATGGACCTGAAGCATATTATAATGAATTATAGTAGCAGCTGAAAGCCCCACACCGTGTTGGCTGCTGCACATGTAGCTAGTGAGCGAGTGGCCCTACAGCACTTACAGTTGAAATAGACAAGCCAGTCCCAAGGTAGGAAGAGAAGTGATTTGCCCCAGGACATAAGGCAAATGAGTGGCAGAGCTAGGAACAGAATCCAGGGTTCCTAAACCCCAGTAGATTGTCCCCACTATCTGTCACTAAGCGCCATAAACCAACCAGGAGAAGAGGCAGCTTTCAGAAGGACTTTGAGGAAATACACATCAGCATGGAAACAGCATTTCACATTGAATCCCATGAGCACTGGTTAACAGAAACCTTGGTTAACAGAAACCTTGGACTGCTTCACCCCATGGCACAAACACAATTAAAATTGTTCTATCCTTTATTTAAAAAAACAAAACAAAATCCACACCACACCCTAGGGCTACGTCTACACTGGCATGAATTTCCGAAAATGCTTTTAACGGAAAAGTTTTCCGTTAAAAGCATTTTCGGAAAAGCACGTCTAGATTGGCAGGATGCTTTTCCGCAAAAGCATTTTTTTCACGATCGGGGCTTTTTTGCGGAAAACAGTACTATGCTGTCTACACTGGCCCTTTTGCGCAAAAGTCTTTCGGAAAAAGACTGTTGCCCAAACGGGAGCAGCATAGTTTTTCCAGAAAAGCACTGATGATTTTACATGAGATCGTCAGTGCTTTTCTGGAAATTCAAGCGGCCAGTGTAGACAGCTGGCAAGTTTTTCCGGAAAAGCAGATGATTTTCCGGAAAAACTTGCCAGTCTAGAAACATCCAGCAAGCTTTACCTGACAATTAACTTTTTGGAGGAGGGAAATAAAAGGAAAATGTACACACTTTATTTAAATGATTGTTTTCAAAAATAGAATTATTTGGATAAAGTTAATTTTTATTTCAGATTTCTTTAAAAAAGGGATTGCTGAAATTTTTCCATTTAATTATTTTTACTATTTAAAAAAAAGGAATTCTATCAAGTATTTTTTTTCTTCATCCCTATAAACTCTTATCATTCACTCTGTTTTTAACAAAAAAGGGCTATAGTCAGTTTGGTTTCCAAAAACATTTTCTTCTAGTTTTCCACATCTTCTCTCTTTACCAAGCTTGATTTCAACATAGGCCTTGAATGACATCAACATGGTCTTTTTTGTGTGCACTAATTTAGGCTTTCTGGTTCTCTTGCACTTATTATAACATTTGTTATGGAAAGGAGGGCAAGTTGTTTTCCATCAGTATTTGTTGTTAGAAGTTATGGTAACCGCTTATGACCTTTGGTATATTTTTTCCCTAATTGATTTTACAATTAAAGGTGAATTTGCAGGCCCAATTATCACCAACAGCAGACTTTAGAATCGACAATTAACTTTAGTTTTTGCACCATCGCCAGCAACACAATAGACTACAGCTTAAGCATTGAGAGGATGATCTGCTAAGCCTTTACTGCTGGCTACTGTAACAGGCCCTTGGCAATGGAAAACAAAACAGACACTCACCTGCAGAGAAGCAAATGGATTTTCATCGACTCGTTCTGTAATTAATGAAAACATCAATGGAAAAAGAAAAAACAGCTGCAATTTTCCCTCAGGCAAGAGAGAACAAAACAGTTGATGTCATTCTGTTTAACTGCCTAGGGGTATTCAACAATTCTCATGAGTAGGGGACTTTTCCAAAGTGGAGCTGGAGAGAAGGAGACATTTCTGCACACAGCGAAACTGACACTATTTGCGCCTAAGAAACATGGGAGATTATGTCCAGTAAAGCACATCAGTAATCATCCTTTGGAAAAACACTTGCTAGATCAAACATAAAACTTTCTATGCTCATTTTGCACATCTTTTTTATCATGACTGTAGGGGTAAGTCTCTTCTTAATGGAGGAAGGGTGCAAGCATTTAACACTTTGCGTCTTCATCAGTCTTCATATGAAGTCCAGTTTGTAGCTGAAAGCTTCCTTTGCTAGCCAGATGAAAGGCAGATAAAAGGGTGAAAGCTCAAGACTGGAAGTTCTGTTATGGGAGCTCTTACATAAGAACGGACATACTGGATCAGACCAAAGGTCAATCTAGCCCAGTCTCCTGTCTCCTGACAGTGGCTAATGCCAGGTGCTCCAAAGGGAATGAACAGAACAGGGAATCATTAAGTAATCCATCCCTGTCACCATTCCCAGCTTGACAGAGGTTAGGGACACCATCCCTGCCCATCTTGGCTAATAGCCATTGGACCTACCCTCCATGAATTTATCTAGTTCTTTTTTGCCCCCTGTTCAAGTCCTGGTATCCACACTATCCTCTGTCAAGGAGTTCCACAGGTTGACTGTGCATTATGCATTCTTACCTGACCCTCATCATCGTAGTTGGGTATTAAGAGAATGTCACTAACAGCTGCTATGTGTTTGATCTCTGATTCTCCATACAGGGAGAATTGTGTATGCAGTGGAGTTTAAGATGCAATAGGTCCAAGATATGAACAACCTGGTAAAACGGTATTGCTGTAGAATCAAAAATTCAAGATTTGCATAATACAGAAAGAAGGACATTCCTGAATTGAGCAAAACTAACCTCCTGTTCAGCTTATTGAAAGCCTGTAAGGGCATTCTTAGAGGGCCCCAATAAGGGTTCCCTACATGCTACTGAAGCAAACAGAAGTGACCAACTCAGTTTCACCTTCAAGTCAATTCCCTTCTACAGGCTTGTTGCCACTGCATGGCTTGCTCAAGATACAACTCAAATATTGCCCCAACCCTACTCCTACCCACACACAAACATCTCAAGCTCTATGTAAGCAACAGTTAAGACTCCAGCGGGCTGGTTTGTTAAGTATGGGTTGTCACACCTGTGCTGCAGATGTTTGCACAATAATACAGTGGGGATCTGGCTACAGCTTGGGGTACGGCTCATCAGCTGTGAGGCAGAGGCTGGTCACTCTGTATGGCTCCTGGATTGTTTTGCAGGGGACTGGCGGCTCTCAGAGGAGCAGAGTAGCTGAAACTCACCACAGCACCTAAGACAAGCAACTAGTGAGTCCCCAGCTGTGAACAGATTGTGCTGAACACAGTGAGACTAGCTCTGTGGGACTGGGATGGACTATTCCCGCAAGATATTGGTGTCCTGGTGGCCCCCCCCCCCCAATTATCCGTCTCCACCCATTGTCTCATTTTATACTCAAGATGGTCAGCTCTTGGGAGTGGTTGTTCCGTGTCTGAACAGCACCTATCGACCTGCGCTATGCCTATCTCGCCTAGTGCAACTAGGTCCTGGTCCATGCCTAGGTGCTACCACAATACAGATCTTCCTCCAGTGAGGGAAAGGGGCATAGAACTGTTATTTGCAGGGTGGGTGTTTGGTGACTGATGGAATTCAACAGTAGGGAATTTATTCAGGATCCATGTGCAGTTCAGATACGTTTTTTTCCCCCAGTTATGGGCCCAGTCCAGCTCTGTAAGTCCTTTAGAGTCAGTGCGGTTACATCAGGGATGAACTGGCCTGTACACGTTTAATTGGAGCCCAACACCACACCATGGTGAATGCCTGGCATTCGTATCAGCTCAAGTAATTAGCACTTGGCAATCCCCAATAAGGGCTAGCACCTCTCTCGGACACAGCAGAGCTGAGTGCTACGCAAGCACTCAGCCTCCCAGATGCTGCTGGACAAATAGAATGGGGCAAATAATTTCGCCTCTCTCTGGTTGGAAAGGCCCTGCAATTTCTCAGAGATCCAGATAAGCAGGGTGAATCTTCATGCTACCAACACCTTCCACTCCACTCCCTGCAACCTTTCACACCGACATCTGAGGGCCGGTGGCAGAAATTGAGCCAGCACACCCCAGCCTGTACCAAAAAGGGGGTGCTCCTACAGCAGATGCCATCTTTTAGATGGGCCCCAGAGCGCTGCAGCTTGACGCAAACCCCCGCCCCCAGCAGTGAAAGAACATGCAGAGGCCTCCTCAGAGTATCTAATTCCATCAATGCAAGTTCAGACCCTAATCCTGGCAACATATTGGCACATACTCAAGTGTTTGCAGAATCCTGGCCCTTGCCAGCAAGGGTAGAGACGATCACAACTTTCCAGGAGCATTACACCCTGTTGAAGTGTCCAGACTTTTGAAAATGGTTCATGTCGACGCTCAAGATACTGGTGTCCTGGTGCTCCCCCATTTGTCTGTCTCCACCCCTCATCTCATTTAATACACAAGATGGTCAGCTCTTCGGAGCAGCGACCGTCTGCCTGTTCTGAGTCTGTACAGCATCTACTGGCCTGCGGTTAGTCCAAGCCTGCGGCTGCCAGCACAAATATACACGTGATGCAGGGAAAAACCCGCCATGAGATTCACTTCATTGTGTATAAACCTTTAATTTTAAAAATACAAGTTCAAGGGCCTATGTAAGAAGAAAACAACAAAAGTTACATAATGAATCAGATCTTCTTTCAGATGCAGTGATACAAGCCATCAGCACCCACAGGGGCACGGAAGCTACCCTGCAGTGATTGCTATTTGTGTTGGACTTGAACCCATTCCCTTCCCTTGTCTCAAATTCCTATTACATTGGGTTTTATTGTATAAAAAACAAGAGCCCCACAGGCGAGCTCAGCCAGGATCTCCCTGCCCTGCTGCAGAATGGCCTGTTAAGAGCTCCTCTAAGCCAGGCTGATCCCTGTGTTTCTTGGGAGACCAGTTGGCGGCCAGCACCTCCACAGCTGCTGCCAGGGGACAAAGCCCAGGGCCCACAGGGAAGTTCCTACAGCCTGGCAGTGTAATAACCTCTGGGTTTGGTGGGCTAGGGAGCCAGAAGGAAAGGCCCAGCCTTGCTCAGTCCTCACCAGCCTGCTCCAATGGGGAAACGGGGCCACCGCTGCTGCAGAGTTTACACTGCAGGGTGCCCATCGGGTTTACATTGCAGAGTGCCCATCAGACCGTGTCATTTTGCAGCTCTTTGGCTCTTGCTGCTGCACAGCAACGGGCCATATTCTGACCCGTTACCCTAGTGCAGCCCTGGGAGAAGCGACACGGACATCTGGCTGGTTGCTCTGCGTTTACAGCAGAGGGAGAGGAGAAATTCCAGCATGGAGCCCCAGACACACCCACGCCAACCAGCCATGCGTGCAGCTTGGGATCGGTAGTGAACATCCAGGGGTCCCTAAGCTGCTTTGAGCTGGCCTGGCTCCCAGCAGGAGCCATGTTAGACTTCAAAAAAACACCCTCTCCCCACTGAAAAGAGCCTCTTCTTGCTCCATGAGCTGCATAGCCCGTTGCCAGGGAGTCCCACACTTCCTTACTTTGATGGCTGGGAGACAGGGGGAAAGGGAACCTTAAATTCCCAACCCATCATTCCACCCCTACAACCTCCCATTTCACTGAGCAGCTTGCCTGTACCATGGTCTCTGCACCCATTGAAAGAGCCCTGACAAGACACCTGACAGGGACTTCCCAGAGGCTGGTGAGCTCTTGATTGATGCTCCTGGCTAGTTCCCTCTGTGCAGCTCCCCTGAAGCAGATGGGTTTGGAGGAGAAGCAGAGCACCTTTGAGATAGGGTGGGAGTAACAGGACAGCCCTCGGAAGGTGCAGTTGGCAGCCTGATTAGTGGAGCCCTCTGCACCAGCAAAGCCTTTGCACTCTCAAATTCCTGTTGCATCAGGTTTACAGAACTGCTCCCCTTCACACCAGCCGACGATCTGGCCTTCAATTCTGAAGTCACTGTGCTTAGTGGTGGCAGCCTTGCAACGTGGCTTCCTGAGCAGATTCCTCCCCACAGCCTCACACTGCAGAGGCAAAGCTGGATGGGATGGAGCAAGAGACTGGCAAGGTGTCCCAGAGCCAGACTTTCCCCAGGCACCGGTGACAGCTGGCTCATCGATGACCCAAGATGCAGCCTGCAGAATTTATCGTCTTTTTTTGGGGAGGGGGGTGGAAGGACCAGTGGCGGAGGCCAGGAGGTTGGCCTGGAAATGCCAGAGCCAAACATGTTCCAATAACTAGCTCAAGCAGCTTGGGGAGTTCCCAATTAAGGGCAGCTACTTCAAACGGTTTACAAAAGTCTCTCCCACTGGCTCTCTCTCTACTGTGCGACCAACACGCTGCCATGGAGCAGCGAAGACCTCAGAGGACTTGCTGATCCCGTGGTGTTTTGCTGACTGCCTTCCCCATAGCTGCAGACATTCAAAACATGCGCGAGAACAAAACCCAAAGAATGACTTGTGTATTAGCCTCATCTGCATGGCTATGGAGACCTGCTCTCGTACAGCACACCAAGCAAAGCTGGCTCTAGCCAAGGCCCTGGTGGGAGCAGAAGGACATGGAAGCAGAAATCGTGCAAGGCCTGGCAATGGCTGTATTTCGGCTGTGGGGATTTGTGTCAGCCCATGAGCTGAGACCAAGCATCAGGCTGCATTTATCACCTCCCGTGTTTCTGCTCCTGTGTCTTGTTGCCTCAGGCGGGGGGAGGGAGAGGGACATGTTACATCAGGTAGGTTATTTTAAAACAGAGGCATGTTTCAATGTTCTGCCCCCAGTCCTCTTTCAATCAGAAATTCACTGGACTAAGTTCTCCCACTGGGCAGATTATCATGGCGCATTAAGGCACAACGGTCAAGGCCTGACCTACAGGTTGGTCTGAAGCCCCGTAGCAGATTTCCTCTCCCCCTTCCCTCCCCACCCACAGTGTCCCAATCTATAAATCAGCACTTTACAAACAGGTGCAAATTCTGCTGCAAACGAGGCTCCAAGCAAATTCCTGCTTCAAGGACACACAGGGCTCCCGTTGAACAATCTGCTGTCCAGGCTAGCCTAGTTTTGTTCTTTTCCCTCTGAACAGCCTGGGCTTTACAGTCAGCCCAGGGCAAACCCGGCTGATCCCGACTGCAACTCAGTGCGTGAAACAGGAGTAGCGGAGGTGGGCGAATTTGGCTGCTAGTTCCATCAAAGCCGGCACAGCTCCTGCTTTTCCATTAACATCCGCTTCTTCCTCAGCAGGCGTGCTCCCAAATGCAGAGGTTTGGGTGCCCAAGTTGGTTTATTGCTAAAAAAACAGAAATTGCTAGAGAGGTACAAGACAGGATGGGGCCCTCTCAGCAGGCAGATCCCAGGTGTTTGTTGTTAACTCTGTATTGCAGACAGCCCTGGAGGCTAGATGTCCCTTTACATAGGACAGCAGGGCAGCCCAGCCCCAGATGGACCCTGCGGCTCAGGCGTCATTTCATGATTGGTTGCTCCACTCAGACCAAGCTGGAGGCCCACTCTCATCTCACTAGTCTCAGCAACAAAGCAACCACGTGTCAGATAAAGGCTCAGTTATTCCAAAACCTGTTACTTTTTCCCTCCATGGGCCAGTTGCGGTGGGGATTTGTGCAATGTCTGACAGCTGGGGACCGGATGGAATTCCACCGGTTCCACTCGCACAGGTCAGGAACCCTTGAGGTTATGGACAACCTGGGTGATCTCAGACCTTTTCTGTCCTCCATCCCAAGCCTATGTGCAGCTTGGCCTCCTCCCCCAGAGCAGGGCCAATAGAAAGGGCCAAAGGGGCATGAGAGTCCCTTACCCAAGTGCACTAGGCCAGTAGGATGGAGCATGGGGAATGGGAGCCTCAGACTTGCCAAAGTCAGAGATCCACGCAACATGCTGACAATGAATTCGGAGAAGAGCAGCATGTAGGCTGCCCAGACTGGAGGGCTGGCTGGGATTTTTTTCCCTCAGTGGTGAAAAAGTGGCAGCTGTAAAAAACAAAAGAGTCCTGAAAAAAAAGCAGCTGACAGATTTTATACCAAGACTCCAAGTAGGTTTCTATAGACATTAAAGAGACTCAGTGCAGAGCACAGCTTCCCCACACACTGACGCGGTCTCCTCAGATTCTGGTTGCTGACTGTAACCTACCACACTTCCCTTTCTGGTGGAGAAAAGCCAGCACCAGCTGAGGCTGAAAAGATAGGTTCCCCTCTCATTTACGATTCACAGAGCATCATTCTGCCGTATTGCACATCTGTTTCCACACACGCCCCCTCCTCTACACCCAAACATTTGGTTAAGATAGGAAAGATCTGGAATTGAAGCTAGGAAAGATCTGGAATTGAAGCAACACCCTGAGAAGCACCGAGAGAAAAACAGATTAAATTGAATTTTCTGTGGAGCATAACACCAAATTCCATCCACCCACCCTCCCAGCCAATGGCAGCAGAAAATTCTTCCTTCACATTGCTTTAGTTCTTCCGCTGCTGGCTCCTCTCCAGTTAAGCTGTAATAACTGCTTTTTGGAATGGATGTGTGCGCCAGCAGACTCCTATCCGAGGATTGCTGGCCGCTAGGACATTGTTTTTCCTCCTAAAGTGACTGGAATGTCAGCAGGTAGGGGGTGCTCCCTGGTGAAACGAGACCCTGCCCCGGCCTCTCAAAGAACCCGAACCGTTCAGGCCATGGGAAAGAGGCCACACTCTAGGAGCTAGTTAGCGTCCCATGCAGGCAGCTGCTAACATGAGCTGGTCTGCAGGTTCCCCTCTGTCAGCAGTGAGGCGATGGAGGATGGGCCGTATGCGCTGTCGAACTCCTCGTCCGAGCTCAAGTGGTCGTCGTTCAGGGAGGTCTCGGCTGCCGAGCGAGCGGCCTTGCGCCTGGATCGGGGAAGAGGACGAGCCAGTTCACACCTGCACTGCCGAGTGGCGGTGCTCACCCGGCCCGGCACGCTGGCCCCAGACAGCTGTTTCCCATTGGGAAACAGTAGGGGGGAATCCCAGCTGTAAACCAGGCTCTCCAGAGGGGTGCTTGCCGACGTGGGTCAGACACACCGCACGTGGGGGCAGCAACGAGAAGAAAGCAGGAGTCAGTCTAGACTGCAACAGGTGCCAACCCGCAGGACTGAGCCTTCCAAGGAGTCTGAAGCAGGACCGCTCCCAGCCGTGGTTTGACCCGCAGTGGGACTGGGATGTTTGATTAGGGCTACAGACTTCCTTTGACCACAGGCTTAGTGTGAACGGCCCTAGCAAGGACATGGGCTGGAGCATGGCTTGGACTGTGGGTGTGCTGCCGCTCCACTGCCGGGAGGTCATTTAGACCAGAGTCCTGATCTCCAGAAGATCTTCCTTGGTGTGCCCAGCCTAGAAGTCCACATTGCTACAGGGCTGGGGGGAGGAGGGTAGAGAAGGCAGCCTGCAATGATCTCTCAAGGGGGAGTTTTCTACTGCCACCTTTCCACTAGGGGAGCCAGGGCTTCAGCCAGAGCGAGGGGAGACTGGTAATGGAGCAAAGCTAAGACACAGAGGGGAGACAGGACACATATTGCTCCAGGAGACCCTTGGCTATGGCTCTGGAAGGACCCCTGAGATGCAGGACTAAGGAGGGGATTCTGCAGTGCACAGCTGGGGAGAGACAACCAACCCTCCTCCCCCACACCTACCAGGCCTCCTTCTCCAGGGTCTTGACGCGATTCTGCAGCTGCTCATTGAGTTCGTGCTGCTCCTCCAGCTCCCGCTGTGCTTTCTTCCTGGCGCCCTCCAGGCGCTCGATCTCCTCCTCAGCCTCGTCCATCTGGCGCTTAAGCGCCTTGACGCGGAGGCTCAGCTGCGCAAGGGAGAGGGGCATAAGGGGCGAGGCAGGTTGGCTTGTGGTGCTGCAGGGATGCCACTGAGCCCCGCTCACCCAGGCAGTGCTGGAGGGACCTCACCCCCAACCCAACCCACCCCACCCGCCCCAGGACAGCAAGGGCCGTTTACAGTCACAGCAGCAGACTGGGGCTGAGAGAACCTGGAGCAAACTGGGAAAGGGCTGTGCTCAGCCCCCACTGGAAAGCCAGGGTGGGAATCTTTGGGGTGCTACAGTGCTGGAGCAGGACAGGAGCCTAGAGACTCTAGGACTCCTGGGGGCACATCCCGTAGCTCCTAGCGCTGCAGTGAGCGAAGCCTCTCTAGGATTTGTTCCCAGTGAATTGCAGGAGAACTTGTCTGGACCTTCTGGGCACAAGGGCATAGGAGAGGATTGTGGGAAGGCACTGGAGGACTATCAGCACGATCGGGATACAGCCTGCATCAAAAATGGAACCTCAGCCATCACTCCCACCCCATTTTAATTGGGATCACCATCTTGGATTGTCAAAAGGACAGCCCGTCCTCCATCTTGGTGCCCCTTCTCCTTCAGGCTTTTGGCGCCAAAATGGAGGAAAAGGCAGGAACGTGGACGGTCACATGGCAGTAAATCTGCCTAGCAGCTGGAATGCAGGTAGGGGAGTTTCAGTCACTCTGAGGGCACATGGAGGCCCTCCCCCAGAGCACCAGCCTTGCATATAGCTAGAGCCTGAGGAGTAAGGACCTTTCAACTTACCTTCACTCACACCACCCGATTCGGGCTAATGGGCCTGCCTGGGTTTAAGGCACCAAACTTGGGTGTTTTGTGGGCAGGGACCAGGGGCAACAGCCAGCTAAGAGCTCAGGCAAGTGTTGCAAGGACGCAAGACTCCTAGGGGGTTAAGAAGCATTCAGGACAGGAGGAAAGGCTTTTTTCTTAGAGCAGCGACAGGCAACCTAGGCTAGCGAGGGGGCCGCATGAGAGGCCCTCTTTCATCTCAGTGGGCCGCAAGACCGTCGTACTCAAGACAGTCTCCCAGGACAGGACAGTTTTGCTAACTGCGATGGCGTACCTAGAATTTGCAGGATGCTGATGGAGCTTCAGCAGCGCTTTGATTGGATGCAGGAGGAGCACGTGGCTCTCACAGTCAGTGCTGTGTGCAACCAGCGTGCACCTTGGTCACGGGCCCTGGCTTTACAGGCGTGTCACTATAGTCACTCCACTAGGGAAACATACTATGTGGCTGGAAACCAGTGGAGTCTGGCAACCCTGCACGTGGGCACCAGCAAACAAAATGTCTCCTGGGCCACATACAGAACACTGAGGGGCCGCAGACTGCCCACCACTGTCTTAGAGGATGGAGTAAGCAGTTAAGGTGGGGGATAAGGGGGGAAATAAAGATGCTCAGATACAGATCAGAGTCTATGCTGTTTTTAAGCTACTGTACATGGACAGGATGCCGCTGCACCATGGACAGAGTCTATCTCCTTAACACCTATAAGTCAGGCCGCATTCCATCACACCAAGCGCATCAGCTGCAGCTTTAGGAAGCCAGGCGCAATTAGGACTTTCTCCAGCAGGAGATCAGGTGGAGAAGATGCATGTTCAAGATTTCAATTCCCAAGAGAAACTGGACGCAGCCCCATGCCTCTGCGCCACATGCACAGGCTTTGGGCTCTGGGAATGCCACCCTGGATACTGTAATTGGGCAGTTTAATTAGGCAGCAAAAAGGGTGTGTTCCAGCAGCTTCGTTCTCAGGGAAGCACGGGGAGGTGAGGTCAATAGAACCCAATGGATCTGCCCCAACACTGAGGAAGCAGGCTAAGGGGGAGCAGAGGACAGCCAGGGAGCTGCCGTAACTAGGGGGGATGGAGGAGCAACAGAGAACAGGAAATTGAAGGCGAGTGCCGACTCGTGAGATGGGGCTGGCAGATTCTAAAAAAGCTTCTATAAGACTATTTTGCGGGGGGTCTTCCATACAAACTCTGGCCCCAACAAGCTCCGTAAAAAGGACAGAAGAGGCAGAGACACTGAAGTATTTGTCTGTAATTGGGATAGGGGAGGTCGATTAGGCAAAGATATGGGGTGGCTGCAGCAGGAGAGGGGATGGCTCTTGCACCAAGAGGAGAAACGTGTTTCATGACGGAACAGAGAGGAGAGATGTGGAAGAGAAACTGAGACCAGATCCATGGGTTTCCATCAGTATCCAACTTGGATCGGCCTGTAGTAGAAGTCAGTCCCTAATGGGATCCATATCACTGTCCGAAAGCATACATGAAAACAAACACGCGTACACACGCCTCTTAGCTGATGGGCTTGTGCTAGCCATGAGCAGCCTGGATTCAGCTGTGAAGAAACACACAAGCACACACACTCCTCTTAGCGGATGGGCTTGTGCTAGCCATGAGCAGCCTGGGTTCAGCTGTGTGAAGGGGGAGGGGGAGGGGGAGACGGAGACAGAGACAGAGAGCTCCAGCTACACAGAGCCAGCTTGGCAGAGAAACGAGGAATCCTCAGCCAAGCGGGTGCCAGAGGCTGCGGAAGATATTTCAACCTTTAAATGAATAATTGGATGATAGACACTGGAAGAAAAGAGCAGAGGGAAGGGAGTGACGCCCTGGGACAGCTCCAAGAGCCTGAGCATGCGCGTCCGAGTGGGAGACAGACTATGTTCCGCTACACACCTGGTCCTTCTGGTCATTCACATGTTGCCTTTCGTCGTCGATCTGGATCGTCAGCTCCTTCACTTTCCTTTCCAGTTTGCGGTTCGAGGACACCAGGATGTTCTTCTCCCTGAAACCACATTGGATGCACAACTCAACTGCTGCTCTGACACGTGTGTGATCTCTGTTTACCTTATGGTGGACCCCAGAGACCCCTACTGAGTTCCCAGTCTAATATGGAAGAGAGAAACGCAGGATCACCACAAACGTTCCCTCTAATTTTTCCATCCATGTGCAGAATACATTTTGTTATGTGCACAAAGGCACATTCTACTGGTGGTGCACATCTGCAACACAGGCTGCCAGCTGTGGGTGCTATGCAAATCGGCCGGGCGGCATTTGAATCTCTCCTGGGTGGCTGCCCAAGTGCTTATCTTACAGGGAACACAGATCATTCCTTCCCAGATGGGAAAGACCCAGAGAGAGGCCCCAGCTCACACCAGCAGTCAGAAGCAGAGCTGGGATTTGAATCAAGAGCTCCCCTGCAGGATCCTAATCACAAGGCCATCTCTTCCCTGGGATGAGCCACCTGCTATTAGATTTGGCAAATTTACGAGAAAAATTACTACAGTGCACAAGACTAATTCTGGGGCAAGGCGGCAGGCCTGGAAGCAGACACCCTGTTGATTTACAACACAGGGACAGCCCCAAGGCAGAGTGCGCCAGGCACACTTCCCCCAGATGCTGCCAACCAGGTGATTAGGCAGGCGGGTTACGCAATGCCGAATGCTCGCAACTGGACGACGTCAAGCCAACTGTGCACACGGGTCTGAGTGTGGCCACTCCGACACGGCCCACCTGGGCAGGGGGGAAAGCTGCCTGCGGACAACCGAGAGGCTCTCTGTCCTCTTTTACACAACAGTGATCAGTGCCACGCCCTCTGGATGATGTGTTTTTCCACCCCTCCAGCACTAAACCAGAGACACTGAGCGACACTGATTAGGATTTGGAATGCCTATTTCTAGTCTGAGATGGGGACCCACCTACCGTAGTTCTCTCTAAGCTGCGCGCAAAGGACATTTCTACCCCGCCCACCTCCTAAGCAGAAGTGGAGCAGCGTGGTGGGAGGCAAGTGACTGCTTCGGTGGCTGGAGCCCAAGGAACCACATGCAAGCAGCTACTCAGGGGCAGAGGACTGTTGCTGCCGGAGGTTCGGGCGGTGGGAGGGTTAGAACTGCGGGCTGCAGGGCTGCTGCTGCCAGGGGTTGGGGCTATGGGTGGGTTGGAGGCCTGCTGGGGGTTGGGGTTAAAGAGATTCTTCATTCCTAATATTAAAACAGAGAAGGGAAAGGTACCCAAAAACCAAAATGATCAGAGTTGAGAACAGATCCTGGATATGAAGCCCTCTTGCTATATATGCTGGAGGAATGGATCACTGCCTAAAAATCTACGCCGTAAGCAAGTCTGGAGCTGAGCTGTACTGTGTCTTTTATTGCAGCCTTGAAGTGTAGGAGGTATTAGTGAGCTGGAGGAGAGAAGGTAGGACTATTGCAGTTTCTTGTGTCTGTGCCCAGCTCTGCTGACAACTTCCTGTGTGAATTCAGGCAATTTATTGACTAATCTGTGCCTCAGTTTCCCTGTCTATAGGACACTGTACCTCAAAAGCATCACAGAAGGTTTGGGATGCCCTGTTCATTTCATGTAGGCAAAGTGGCATGAGGCTGTCAGCACAAAGGGGAAACAGTTATCTGCTACATTTAGTGCCTAATCTCACTTTAGTAGGTCAAGCTATAGGCTTCCTCCCCATTGCCAAAGCACCAAATGTACATCCATGCCCCCCTGCCCTCAGCTTCATGCCCTCCCACACTGCAAGAAAGGGGAAACACAGAGCTGTTCCTTTGGCAGGGGAATTCTCCCATGAGTGGGTGCCATGGTGGTGGACATCCGAACAAGTGCACATGACCCCGCTGTTGGCGCACAAGACAAAACTCACTTCACTCATGGATGGAAAATCTTAGTGGGAACACTGCTCCTTACCCTCTCTCCTAGGGGCAGTCTTTGGAGGCTTGTCTTCACGGGAAAGGTGCATTTCAGGGGTTATTTAAAACCAAATTCTATTAAACTGGTACCAGAAGGACACTCAGATTTCGATTGCTAATAAAGCACCATCACCGGGAGCCCAGCGTTAACCTGAAACCAGGGCGTAGACATGAGGGTGTGAAACGGTTTAGCTAAAATGAATTTTAAAAATTGGTGTTCACTGAGTATGCCTCCCTGCACAGATGGTTTTGTTCTCAGGGTTTTGTTGGACCTAGCCACAGCTGCTCTGGCTGCCAAGGACGGCAGGGGCTGTCCTCACAGCTGTTTATTATGCTGCTAGGTAGTGCCAACCTGGCCAAGCGCACAAGGAATGAGGTTCTGGCCCTCTCCTGCCAGCTAGGAGAAAAGCTTCAGACACCCTCCAACAGAGTCCGTTCTACCTGACTATGCTTGGTACCGGAACTGAACCGGCACATGTGTGCGCAGCGAAAGGGTTAAATGCAACATCTGACCTCGCCTGGAAACTGCTGTTGTGAAATTCAGCCTCCGAATGTGTCTGGGAGGCAGATCAAGAAAGGGGCATGGGGAAGAGAAACAAGGCTGAACCGTGGAGGAGGGAGAGAATTCTGGACGTGAAAGCCTGTGGACCAGCACTAGGACGACTGAACTAAACCCCTTCCTGAGGTTGCATAAGAAGAACAGGGCCTAGGAACCCAGCTAGAGGTCATGCACTCCCCTGAGACCTATTCTGTGCAAGGCTCCCAAGCTTTCTGGTTAGCACATGGGGCGGGGGTAAGCATTCCTACACTCCATTACCAGTCCTGCCCCTAACATCTGAGGAGTAACATGTCTGCTGCGTGCCTCAGTTTCCCCCATCCAGAGCCATCCCATCCATTGTAAAGTTCGGTGCAGTCACCCTGGGGGCAGCAGCAGTACCCCAGCCCCACTCTGCCACCAGCTCCTGGTGCTGCTGGGCCCTGCACCCATCTACAAACTAGGGGTAGCAATTCCCTCCATCAGAGGGGCTGAGATGCTTATACTGATAAACTTTCCAACGTAAACCAGGCCTCGGTTTTTGGATGTGAATATTTACTGAACTGTGATACTGGCCCACCCCTTTGCAACAGACACAGTAACGCACATTGGAAAAAATAATCCCAACTATACATACAATATGATAGGGAGTAATTTGGCTACAACTACTCAAGAGAGATCTTGGGAGTCATTGTGCATAGTTCTCTGAAAACATCTACTCAGCGTGCAGCAGTAGTCAAAAAGCAAATAAAATGTTAGGAATCATTTAAAAGGGACAGAGAACAAGACAGAAAATAACTTATTGCCTCTATCTAAAACCATGGTACTCCCACATCTTGAATACTATGTACAGATGTGGTCGCCTCATCTTAAAAAAAAAAGATATATTGGCATTGGAAAAGGTTCAGAAAAGGGCAACAAAAGTGATTAGGGGTTTTGAATGGGTCCCATATAAAGAGGGATTAAAAAGACTTGGACTTTTCAGCTTAGAAAAGAGGAGACTAAGGGGGGATATGATAGAGGTCTATAAAATCATGAGTGGTGTGGAAAAAGAGAATAGTAAATAATTTTTCCTTTATTCCCACATAAGAACTAGGGGTCACCAAATGAAATTAATAGGCAGCAGCTTTAAAACAAACCAAAGGAAGTTTTTCTTCATTCAGTGCACAACCTATGGAACTCCTTGCCAGAGGACTTGGTGAAGGCTAAGACTTGAACAGGGTTCAAAAAAGAACTAGATAGATTCATGCAAGTTTGGTCCATCAATGGCTATTAGCCAGGATGGGTAGGGATGGTGTCCCTAGCCTGTGTGTGTCTGGAAATGGGTAACAAGGGAGGGATCACGTGAGGATTCCCTGTTGTGTTCCCTCCCTCTGGGACTTCTGGTACTGGCCACCATTGGCAGACAGGATACTGGGCTAGATGGACTGTTGGTCTGACCTAGTGTGACTGTTCTTATGTTCTTCATACCAGTGTAAGAGGTGCCATGGTCTAGTACAGCTTAGTTTCCTTTCCACCGAGGAATAGCTATACTGCTATAGCTTCATTCCCTCTGGGGGAGGCATGGAAAGGGCTGTAGCTAGCACTCCATACGGTTCAAGCAATATAATATGTGTTTAGACAAGGGCTTAACAAGGAGTGCTTGTTATGATCTTCTGCCACACTGGGCCAGGTCCAATTCCTGTTTCCACATCTTTTACCTTTCTTCTGCCTGCAGCTTATCCTGCAGCTCCTGGATCCGGGACTCCAGCTGAGACAAATTGGCGCTGGGTTTCTGCAGGCCTTCTGAGCTGGCCAGTCGGCTTTTCAGGTCTTTGTTCTGGTAGGAGAAATTATACCTGATTAGCCACCCATAACACCAACAGCTGGAGTGAGAACGTTGGTGTTATAAACAGAGAGAAAGAACCGGACTGTTATGTAAATACCAACAGTGAGTCACGCACTGCAAAATCCCTTTCCCAAATAGGAAGCTCACTGAGTTATATAATGGCAATTATGTTTTCCTGCATTCAAAATGTTGCCAACTTATCGTAATTTAAAGCTGCGCGTGGAATGCAAGTGCTAAAAAGCAGACAAAGACGGCTCTCCCGCTCTGCAAAGCCAGTGCTGGCAGGACATGCTGGAAGGGGGCCATAGGGTTACATCTCCATGTACACTATGCCTCCCAAT